AGGAATAAAAAATTCAGTGATGATGCTAAATCAACATTCCTTTTATTCCTCTCAACTTAAATGTATAAGATGTTCATCTCTAAAAATGAAAAACAGAAAGAATTGCTATTAAATTAGATTCTAGCATAAATTATTCATCTGTGGATGTTGTTGTTAGTTGCCATCCAGTCCATTCCCACTAAAAATCACCCCATTTGTGCACAACAGAACTGCTCCTTTTGGAAACAGATCACCAGGCCTGTCTTCTGAGGTGTGCTAAGTGGCTTCAAACTGCCAACCTTTTGGAGAGAAGATAGCTTAAGGTTTTTGCTACTCAGGGACTCCTTCATCCATGAACACTTAGTTTAAATGATAAAAAGCCCAGTTTCATTAAGAAATGCATTTCACAATGTCCCTGAAGGGCAAAATGGTCCCCAATTGAGAACCACTGCTATAGTAGTTGGAATAACTATATAACTTAAAGCTTCCAATTATTAAACTGCTAGTTTACTTTTTAAAAATGGATGACAGTGGTTATCAAAATACTGTATTTAATTCCATTGGATATATTTTAAAGCATAATATAACAGTTAATTTTAAATGACATTTTACAATACACTGGAAAAGACTTTATTTGCTGTTATTTAAACTGATGGCAAAGAACTTTGGATGTTAGTTGATAATCCATTAGCTGAAAGCATCCTGCAGTTTATACCATAGGTGGAAAATGTACATTAACACTAACTGATCTTTTTCCAAACCCTAACAGGGTACTTTGGAACGCTCTTGAGTTTATCTTACATCCCTTTAAGATTTTTTTTTTAACCTTTTTAGGAATGTATTAAATTCTTAGTCGCTCTTGCCTAATAAAAGTCTAGAAAACTTAAATGAAAAGAACACCAGGTCTTTTAAACAAATATGAACATATGGATACAAAGCACGTATTTTTCAAAATTAAACTTGTATAGACTAGTAACTTTTCTTCCTTCCACTCTTCAAATGATGCCTCCGCAATTCCAATTATTTGCAGGCTAAAAATAGGTTAAGAACTCCAAAGACTTTTTCCATACAGAGAAGCAGTACTTCCTTAATCCTCGTATGAGTCAACTAAACAGTATCTCATTATGCTCCAATTTTCTTACGTTAATAGTTTATTAGCAAGAATGGCAACAGGAATCATTCATTCCAAATACAAAAATAAAATTTTAAGTAATGTTTCTTTATTGTTTAAAAGCAATTCCACATTATCTGACATAAGCCAAATGGTTACAGCAGAAAAGCGACAAGGGACTGCCAGAAACTTAAGTCCCATTGAGAAGAGAACACAAAACGAGGGAGTATCGCTGATGTCAGACGGATCTTGTCTGATAGCAGAGAATACCAGAAAGATGTTTACCTGCATTTTACTGACTATATAAAGGCTTTCCACTGTATGGATCATAATAAATTATGATTAACACTGCAAAGAATGGAAATTCCTGAACACTCAATCGTGCTCATACAGAAGCTGTACATAGACCAAAAGATAGTCATTCAAACAGAACAGGGGGATACTGTGTGGTTTAAAATCAGGAAATGTGTGTGTGTCAGGGTTGTATCCTTTTACCATACTTACTCAATCTGTATGCTAAGCAAATATACCAAGAAATTGGACCATATGGACAATGTGGCATGAAGACCACTGGGAACCAGAGGGGCAACATTCACATGGAGGAAATGCAGGAGACACAGGAGTGCACAACTATGAGGGGAATGGCGAGGGATAGGGGGTGGTTATTGGGAAGGGAGGGGAGGAGAGTGGGTTAGAATTGTTGTTGTTATGTACCATCAAGTCGGACTGACTCATAGAGACCCCTCCTTGGGTTTCTGAGGCCGTATCACTACGGAAGCAGACTGCCCAACCTTCCTTCTGAGGAGTGGCTGGTGGGTTTGAATTGCCAGCCTTCTGGTTAGCAGTCAAGTGCCTTAGGCACTACGCTACCAGAGTTCGGTGGGTTAGGGTTGGGGATGGTAATTAGGGAGTGAAATGTACACTAAATGTTGAATGTAAAACAAACTCTCCTCAGTAAACTTGCACTTAAAGCACAGTAAATAATAGTAATAATAATAAAAGAATTGACTCAATGCCACATAACAACAGGAACAACAATGCTAAGAGTACAGTGAATCTCTCAAGGAAAAGTAACTCAAACGCATATTGAGTGGTATATTTTAATTACAAAACAAAAAAGGTAGAAAAACAAACAAAAGATTGGACAAGACTCATTAACAACCTGTGAAATGCACATGACAGAGCCTTGCTTGCTGAAAGCGAAAAGGACTTGAAGTACTTATTGATGAAGATCAAAGACTACCATCTTCAATGTGGATTACACCTCTACATAAAGAAAACAAGAATCCTCACAACTGGACCAATAAACATGACCATGATAAATGGAAAAAAGATTAAAGTTGTCAAGGATTTAATTTTACTTGGATCCACAATCAGTGCCCATGGAAGCAGTAGTTAAGAAATCAAATGATGTATTGCACTGGGCAAATCTGCTGCAAAGACCTCTTTAGTGTTAAAAAGCAAAGATATTTGAGGGCTAAAGTGTACCTGACCCAAGCCAAGGAATTTTCAGTTGCCTTATACACACGTGAAAGCTAGACAATCCATAAGGAAGACTGAAGAATTGATGCCTTTGAATTGTGGTGTTAGCGAAGAATATTAAATATACCATTGAACTGCCAGAAGAACAAACAAATCTCTCTTGGAAGAAGTACAGCCAGAATACTCTTTAGAAGCAACACTGGCAAGATTTTGTCTCACGTACTTTGGACACGTTATAAGGAGGGACCAGTCCCTGGAGGACCTCATGCTTGCTAAAGGAAAGGGTCAGCAAAAAAGACGATCCTCAATTGGATGGACTGACACAGTGGCTGCAACCATGAGCTCAAACGTAACTCAAAATGATTGTGTGGATGACACAGGACTGGGCAGTGTCTTCCTGTGGTACATGGGGTCACTGTGAGTCAAAACTGACTTGAATGGCACCTAACAACAATGTAATCCACTGACATCAAGTCAACTAGTAGCAATGCTATAGGGGCAAAGTAGAACTGCCCCATAGGGTTTCCATGGCTATAAATCTTTAGGTAGCAGACTGCTTCATCTTTCTTCAACAGTGTGGCTGGTGGGTTCCAATTGCTGACCTTTAGGTTAGCCACTGAATGCTGAATGCCTTAACCACTGCTCCACCAGAGCTCCTTAAAACAATGTAAAGTAGGTAGAAAAGGTAAGAGGTAAGAAATTTGCAGTTAAGTAATGATTTGGCTAGTTTACCTTTTGACAGAAGTGGAGCTGGAGCACAGCACACATCACCTGACTTTTTCCACAACAAACCCTCCTTTGAGCATCTGCTCCTAATTCCATATCCCATGGAGTTTTATTTAGGTTATCTGACTGCTAGTTAAGTCAAACTACTGCCAAAGAGGCATAAAGTACAGTTGTAACCCAAACTTTCTAAGTAGTCACTTTGTACAAGGCTCTGAAGACATTATCTTCCAAGTTGTGTTTTCAGTGAAATACCATTTAAAAATAACTTTTCAGTTGAATATATTTAAATTGCTAAAGGGCTCCCCACCCCATGTGTGAATTCTTATGAAGGAGAAAACATTAACCTTAACAGTAGTCAAGATGATGTCTCTGCTTTTTAAAATCAAACAGCTGTTGAGAGAACAATACTGAAAAGTGAATTTGATAATCTAGTATAGATTTTTCTCATTAAGTCCCTGAGTTGATACATACATGGCAGAGAGTTACTGTGGACTAAAAATCATTGTTCAATCCCTAAAATTAACTCAGTTAAGACTCATTTAATAAGGTATCAAAAAGCACCTGTTCCTCAGACTACCCACCACAACTACTTACTTCAAGTATTCTAGAGTTAAAATTAAAAGTCACTACAATAATTTACGTATTTGCTACTGCTAAAGAATCTGGGTGCCTAAAACCAAAGCAAAGCTGCTTTAGTTTAAGCATTTACGAGTTATTTTCACAGTCTCGCCGTGAATCTGAGCTAATCTGTCAGTGTAGAGCGCCTGGAGGCCCCGGGTCCCCATGGCTACCGCCACAGCAAAGCGTGCTGGCCCTCCGGGCAGGCCCGGGCCAGCGGGGTGACGGGGGCACCGCCTGTCTCCCATGGACCTTAGGAGGTGGCGAAGGGAAATTCACTTCGCTGGGTGGGCAGGAAGGGTTCAGGGTCAGGCTGAGGAAATAGGAAAGGAGCAAAGGCAAACCTGCAAACTGCTCATCCCCAGCTTCTTCGGGGCGGTTAGGACAGAACGCCCAATAACATCTCACCGCGTGGGTTCCCTTTCCATTGGGTTTTTCCTTTAATACGGAGTCGTGGGGACTTCGTTCTCAGCGGGTTCACTGAGGAAAATTTAAAATCCCTGCACAGATATGGCAGAAACCAAAAATGATACAACCAGTCATTGGTTAGCCTCAACTCACGCTTCCCGCACAGGTCTCTCCGCAGGCCCCGCCCCCTACCGTGAGACGCGCGAGCCCGCGGGGCACATGCTCCTGGCAGGCGCCTCCGGCCCCGTGCCGCCCAGGAGCGCGCACCCAACGCTTGTAAGTACCCTAGAGAACCCCACCTCGCGTTCCTGTTCTTGCGGGAAGGAACTGCAATATGCTTCCGCAATTCATTTTCCCCCCCCTCTCTTAAAGGACCATTTCCACCGTGGCAAAATACAAATCTCAATAAGACTCAGCAGTCATAAAAGATGAACTATTACCAACAGTCATTTCATCATCAGAGCTTGCCAGTTTGTCCCTCTTCCAAATTCTCCAGCTCCGCCCCCAAAACAGCCCCCGTAAGCCCTCGCTGACGCTTTACGGGCTGCGCGCCACACGTTCGCCCCGCCCCGTCGGTTCCGCCCCTTGCTCCTTCTCGAACCTCTGGAGAGCTAACGTGTGCGGGCTGGGGCGTGTGGTGTCAGAGACGCATGAGTATCTCCTCCTTCCTACACAGTTGCTACTTTTCTTTGCGAGCCAGTCCAGCTCCTCTTCCTCTCTGTGAGTCCCTCATTCTCTCTAATCTGTGCTCCTGCTCGCTCGCATGGCGACCGCCGCCGCAGCTCTGGAGCCCTGAATGAGCAGTGCGCGTGCGTGCGCGCGGGGCTCACGGGCGCGTGGCCGTCGAGTTCCCTCTCTCCCGCCCCCTCCGTTCCTCTATAACTTGGCTGGATTGGAGGAGGCGCCGCCGGAGTCGGAGGGCGGGGAGCTCGGAGGAGGGAGCTTGAGAGTTGTGGAGACTAGTGACTGGGAGAAGTCGTATCCTGCTCTCGTCGGCTTCCTCCCGCTCCCTGTCTCCCTCGCTCTCACACCTACTTCGCTGCCCGCTTCAGCCCGCGCCCTCGCTCCTTCTCTTGCTAGGAGATCCCAGCACTTGGTTCTCCGGTTCTCGGCTCGGCGGGGGCGCCCCGGGGGTGCCCTCGCCCTCCCGTTGCGGGCGGACGGGCGGGCGGTATGTGGCGTTTGGTGCCCCCGAAGCTGGGCCGCCTGTCCCGCTCGCTGAAGCTGGCGGCGCTGGGCAGCCTGTTGGTGCTGATGGTGCTGCACTCGCCGTCGCTGCTTGCCTCTTGGCAGCGCAACGAACTGGCCGATCGGCGCTTTCTGCAGCTCAATAAGTGCCCGGCATGTTTCGGTACGAGCTGGTGCCGCCGCTTCCTGAACGGGCAGGTGGTGTTCGAGGCGTGGGGTCGTCTGCGCTTGCTGGACTTCCTCAACGTGAAGAACGTTTACTTCGCGCAGTACGGCGAGCCCCGTGAGGGCGGCCGCCGCCGCGTGGTGCTCAAGCGCCTTGGCTCGCAGCGAGAGCTGGCGCAGCTCGACCAAAGCATCTGCAAGCGGGCCACCGGTCGGCCCCGCTGCGACCTGCTCCAGGCCATGCCCCGGACTGAGTTCGCGCGCCTCAACGGAGACGTGCGGCTGCTCACGCCCGAGGCAGTGGAGGGCTGGTCTGACCTGGTGCACTGCCCGTCGCAGCGCCTGCTCGACCGCCTGGTGCGCCGTTACGCCGAGACCAAGGACTCTGGCAGCTTCCTGCTCCGCAACCTCAAGGACTCGGAGCGCATGCAGCTTTTGCTGACTCTGGCCTTCAACCCTGAGCCATTGGTGCTACAGGTAGGCGCGGAGCCCTGGCGGGGGGCGCCCTGCCAGTAGGGTCCGCGCGTGGGAACGGGAATCGGAAAAAGTGGCACCGCCCGCGCTGGTTGCTGGGTTTAGACTTGACCCGGCGGAGTCAGGCCTTGGCGTGGGAAGGGGGCGGCGCTGGGGGAACCACGAGGGACTATGCCCGATTGAGGAGGGCGACCTGGCTAGTGGAGAGACTGCTCTTGTCACTTAGACACGAGTACATTTCGGTTTTGAATGCGGATCCTTCAACGGCAAAGGGAGTGCGTCTTGAACGCTCCCAAAATGTCTCTCCAGCGAGTTTCCATCCGCTTTCCTCCCTGCTTTTCTGCCTTTATCTTGCCGTGGCTTTTACTTATAGGGCGCCGGCTATCCACGTTCCCTTAGACCTGTCTTAACTTTAGTTCTTTTCGGTTATTAGTATGCCGTGTTTTCCCTTCCCCTTACTACCTCTGGCCTAACTTAGGCCCCGAAGTCTTTGTTTTATTCCTTCTTTCATTTACCTAGCAGTCATCTGTGCAACTAATTTGGGGACAGGCTGGGGAAGATAAGGTCAGAGAATGGGAACAGTGGTCAGGAGTAGAGTGAATACCGAGATCCTAGTTTAGGTAGGCTTAGTGAAGGAGGAAAAAAAAAGTAAGGCAGCGTTAGACTTGGGGCTGGAAGGGCTTTAAGTCTAAGTCGGACATTTTCATCCTGATCCTGTGACCTGCCTTTTTCATCTGATTTTAAAAGATTAGTTTAAGAAAGGAGATACAGTGCTAGACAACGGCGAGAAATGGAAGGAGATCCTCTCCTTGTGGAATTCTTTACTGTCTCGTGACTTTATTTTGAAAATGTGCGTTTGAGGGTTATAGGTTGGGATGTTTTTTACTGATGACAGCCAGAGAAAAACAACAACAAAAGAAACTGTTTACCTTTGGAGTAGTTTAGTTTCTACAGAGCCCCACCTTGCCTTGTTGTGGTGTGCTTGGATGTTGTTAGGACTGTGGGATTTTGATCCTTCATAGGAAAAGTTGTCTTTCTCTTTTTCCATGCCAATTTTGCTGTATTTCAAATACAAGGAAAAAATACATGACTTACATTTAATCACAAGTACTTTTGTGATATACTTAACGCCCTTTCAGCGCAAAGAACGTCAGTGATGGCTGGAAGGTTCGTAAGGCTTGTTTTGCTCTACTTTGTTGTTGTTGCTATTTTTTAAATCTAAGGTGCATCAGTAGAAGTGTTTGGTATTTATTTATGTTGCTTTCTTTTCTCACTTTCTCCACTGCCCAACTTAGCTAAAGTAAATCAGTTTGATTAATTCAGCCAAGTAATTTTTAACACAAAATTAGTATTTTGTCTTATAAGCAAAACTTTGGTGTGGGTTTCAGTAAATTTTAAGATATCATTGGATGTATATAATGGGTTAACTTTAAAATACAGTTAATTTGGAAATACTGCTGTACCTCCTAACAGTGAATGGTGTATAAACTAGTTTGGTGTATAAAACTAGTTAAACTTCCCTGGGAAAACTAGTAAGCCTCTAAAGGTTAAGTCCCTATTTATCATATATACGCATTTGAATTGAAACTTTTTTTTTTCCATTGACGCTGCCTTTCTTACTTATTTATATTAGCAAGGTTGATCCCTGGAGAAACATTTAGCAGTGTAGTTTGCTGAAGTAGATAGATTCTCTGAGACCTGAAAATTTGGTAGAATGCTATCTTAGTATTTTGGGAAAAAATTAAATACACATTTTCTAAACTTAAAATACTAGCTTCTGTTTCACGAAAGATTTTTATCAGGTAATTCTGAGTGTTGATTAGTTGTATTAGAAACAACTAAATTTGAACTAATAATTTAAAAACATCTACCCAGTTTTTTAGAAACATCATCTTGGCATCTGAAAATTAGAAATTTCAGTATTTGGTTTACACTAAGATAAATTGTCTTTGTTCATGAAGTCTACATTTTTTTTTTTTTTTGAAGTTGAAGTTGTCTTGGTATTTTCAGTTTACTTTGGGGTTGAGATAGTTAAGTGTGCTTGTAACTTGTTTTCCTATAACTCTTCCCTCAAACTTTCTTCATCTGTTTTTATCTTTGATGAAACTTTTTAAGAAAACACAAGTATCAAGTTATTTTCTTGAAATTTAAATTTAGTGATCTAATTGGGTTATAGGATTAGTGTTTACATTTAATATGTAAAGAAATTTATCAATATTGTGGACTGTGACATTTGTGAATTGCATTTTTAATGGATAAAGTATAAAGCATTTTATACTTTGTAGCTAATTACATGTTGTGTGAGATATAAATTTGAGGACATTAGTACCAATCAGTCTTACTGCTCTGTTTATTTTTAAAAGCAAGTAGAATAAGAGAACTTACTTTTAAACAATAGCTCTTCATAGAGCTGCTACTTTATAGAGCTACTTGATTTTTGCTAAAAGTAGTGGAATTAAGAAGCTTGAACATTATTGAGGTTTGATGATGGGATAAAATGAAAATCAGAATTGCTTGACTAGGTACAGAGATTGTTTTATAGCAAGTCAAATTATGATGTTCATTACTTTTTGTTAGCTAGGTGAAACTTACTTTTTATATGGGTTTCTAGTACTAGACTATTGATTGACATCGGTAGAAACACTGCCATTCATTTGCCCATTAATATATATTTTTTGGCTTGTGTATTTTTTAGAAACATTTTTAAGTATATATGTGTGTATTTTACAGTTTAAAGAGGAACTCACATTTTTTTTTTTCCAGGAGAGGGAGCTACTTAATGAATTTTTGGATAGTTGGTGGTAAACTAGATTCTTCTTGTATTGTCCAGAAACTAACTACTTGGAAAAAAAGTCTTTTGAACTGAGTTAATTAAACTATTCTTAAATTTCCAGCTTGGTAAATGGTTTCCAAATTAAATATTTAAAAAACAATTATAAGGTACTACGGAAAAAACATATATACAAATTTAACCCATTAAACATGCCTCTTCTGATTTTAAGAAACAATGAAATCATCAGGCTTTCTATTGCATGATTTGAAAGAAGACATGAAAACTATTAAGTGTGTGTAAGATATAGACACACATGCCTTATGTACATAGAACTATATAGATTTGTAACAGACGTCCTGGTATGAAATGGTATGGGAGTACAACTCTCTATAGGTTTACTCTCGGAGTTGGATACAAAGCTTTACTGACAGCAGTTTACCTTCTACTCAGATACCTTTTTTTCCCTCTTTGCATTCCCACTTCACCAAGCGGTGTATTTTAATGCCATCAATGCCATAATCCAGGAGCCCTAGTGGTGTAGTGGTTAAAGCACTCAGCAGCTAACTAAAGGTCAGTGGTTCTAACCTACCAATTGCTCTGCAGGACAGAGATGTGGCAGTCTGTTTCCATAACAATTTACAGATGTGGAAGCCCTATGGGGCAGTTCTACTCTGTCCTTTAGGTTTGCTATGAGTTGGAAGCACCTCAACACCAGTGTTTGATTTTTGGTTATACCGTAATTCTATGGAAAAAATCAGGAGAGAATAGCTTTGTTGATTTTGTATATTATAGTAGCAATTCAGAAACTGAGGAGTTGGAAGTAAACAGGAATATGTTTTCTGTTACTTCACTTAAAAAATTGTTATACTAGCAAAACAGTATTTTTAAAATTATTCTTGAATTTATGTGTATTTGAGTGTGTGTATGTGTAGGATAAAGATATGTTATCTGGATGTTCTGAACCTAGACATTATTTCTTACTTTATAATCTGGAAATAGTGAATGTGGTCTTACTTACAGGAAATGACAAAAGCTACTGGTTGGTTGGAAGCTCTGGTGGCGTAGTGCCTAAGGCATTTGACTGCTAACCAGAAGGGTGGTGGTTCAAACCCACCGGCCACCTTTCGGAAGGAAAGTTGGGCAATCTACTTCTGTAATGGTAATGCCTCGGAAACCCAAGGAGGGGTCTCTCTGAGATAGATCCGACTTAATGGCAGTGAGTTTGGTTTGGTTTGGACTGGTTGTTTAGTAGTAAGAAGTGGGAATTTGTTTTACTATTTTATTTGTAGAACTTTGTGTCTGAAGTTTTTTGAATCATATTTTATTAGCAGTTCTTTTATTGTATATTAACTTTGTTTAAGCTTTGAATTTTTTTAAGGTTTACATTTCAGTTTTTGTAACTATCATAATATATGCAAAACATTTTAAGTCCCTAGGTCATTCAAAATGTTTGTGCTCAACGACTAATGTGCAGGTTGGTGGGTGAAACCTACCCTGTGGCACCATGGAAAAAAGGCCTGACAATCATCTTCCATAAAGATTATAGCCAAGAAAAGCCTGTAGAGCAATTCTACTCTGTAACATATGGGGGCAAAGCATTGTAGACAGTGTCTGATGCATGGTAAGCACTCAATAAAGATTAGTTATTAAATAAGGAAAAAGGAGGTTTAACCATTCAGTGTCTTAACCATCAGCTGTTTGGAAGCAAGTAAACAAAAGAATATGTCCATCTAACTGTGTTACCTCAGACAAACTGATAAACTTTTTGTACTTTCCTCATCTATAAAGTAAGACTGTTGGATTATATCATTTTCTTTCAGCCCCTATATTCTGTAAAACTCAAATTTCTTGATGTTTTAGGAGTTTTTTTCTAGGGTATGGGTTAGAGGCCAGATAACCCTGTTCTAAGCCTGTGTGCCCACAAATTTTCACATACATGAAATCAGATTAAAAAGTGAGTAAAAACCAGAGATAAAGTTTAATGGAAAAATCTAGAGTTTAGTGTAGTCGGGGATCTTGTGGGCAATAGTATTTGGAATCGATATTCCAGATTTTATCTCAGGAATTTTTTCTTCATCTACCAGCTTCGGGAGCCACCTATTTCTCTTTTACTGGTTGCTGCATTAGTACCTGCATTTCTAGGTTTAGGCTTTGAAACACATTATAGTTAGTTCTGAGAAGTGTACATTTTAGCTGATAAATTGATATAGTGGTTTTCTTACTCTGTTAT